TTCCTATAATTCTTAAAACAAATCAAGTGATACCTAATACCTGATTTTGCTTTTTATCTGTTATACAAATGTTGAATAAAAATTAGGTACATATTAATACTACTGTGAGAAACAATAAGAAAAGTATACTAATTTATCAGAATATTCTTGAATATTTGTTAGTTCAGGTTGGAATTGATTTTTTTAGATTCATCAATTTTCATTGTTATAACACTCAGTTTGTACCAAAGCAAGTCATTGTTACTTCCAATTGCCGCAAATTTGAACCATTGCGCAGCTATAATATTCATTATTTTCAATTTGTAATATTTTTCCTGGATTCAACTGACTCCCGTACTTTAAAATAATAAAATTTCCTATATTTAATTCAGCAGATATCATAGAGGTTTAAGCTGGCGTTTCTCTTTTTCATTTCTACTAGAAAGATCTTTATTTTCTTTAAATTTTATTTTAATTGTTTTCTTTTTTGTAAAGTTTTCATTGCCAGTTTTTGTTTTTTTCTTCTTTCCCTTCATTAATTCAATCCACTTATCATATAGGTAATGACTGGGGGTAGATGTAGCCTCTTTCCTTTTAAAATTTAACATCTTCCCGGGCATCATCATTAAGTTCATAATTATGTCTACTAGTCCTTTTCCTGCATGGTTTGGTCTAGTGGTCCTGAATCATCTTCTTTTGAATTCTCATAATTTTTATTTTCATCGCATTCGTTCATATTTATTCCATTTGGTTCTATATCTATATTATTTTCTATATTTGTTTTCTCATCTGAAGGAAAACTTGATGACGGTATATGTTCAGATTGGTAATCTTGGCTGATAATTGTATTTGGGATATTATTATGTTTAGGTACTATTATTCAGTTTCTATTAAAAGCTGAATAATAAGAAATAAAATGTTCTTCATATTATGTTGTCCGTCGTTTGCACTTACATTATAAAGCTAAATAAAATGTGGCCACAACTAGATTTCGATTGCACTGTTTTTGGCCATAATCTGGTTACAAGTAGAACATAATTAAAATTTAATTACACTTTTTGTGGCCACAGAAATAAATCCTAAATATTAATTATTTGAATATAATAAATTTAAAAAATAGTTGCCAGATGTATAATATTTATAAAAATCATGAAAAATTAAACCCCAATACAGATTATTTTTAATAATTTGAGTTCTACTTACATAGCTATCCTTAAGAAATGGGTTAAGGAAACAGCATCTAGTAAGTTTGTGCTACTACTTTTTGGTGTAACGGCCGACTTTTATACCAAATTTGAATATTTTCTATTGCATATGGCGCTGGATATACCAATTTAGAAAATTATAGATGCACGGTTGTCACAATGACGTGAAAAAACTTAATTTTTAATATTTTTTAAAGAAGTGGCTACAACAGGATCAATGACCACAAATGGTGCCTAGTTTGGAAATGGCATTTGTCGTCATAGCCTGAATATCTGTTGGTAATTTACTTATTTCGTTTTGAGCCATTTCTGGCTACAATTCAATCAGCAATCGATACGAAAAAGAATTAAAAATATTGACTCAAAACTGACAACTAAAGAGACAGCTTTATTTATTTGGCAAATTACATAGAAACCAACAACCATATACGCCAACCCAGCACAATATTTTTCTACTCGTAATAAATTCCTCGAAATAATAATTTCTGGATATTTTTTAAAACGTAACTGGCTATGCAAAAAAATATTGTTGTATACATGACGATAAAATTGCATTATCATCTCCCGAAATTAATTCACTCGCGATTTCATCGCTCGTGAATTAATCTTTTCGATCGACGATAAAATACCATTTTATAACTAAAACTATATCTTATATTGTATCTTATAGATATATGAGAGTTACTAGCAGATCAAATTTGATGAATGCTTTCAGAATCCTTTCTGCTACAGAGAGTGTCCTATTATTTATTTTTTTTTCAGCCGTAGATAAACACAATTGATTAATCTTACGATGCCTTGTTCTTGTCTCCAATTCCTACACTTAGTTTTTTGTAGATGTCCGTACATAAAATTACTTAATTCTTGTTTTTCGCTATTCACCCAACACAATTTATCTTCTTCTTGTCACTTTAAGAGCATCTTGCTAAACCGGATTCAAGTAAATCAATCGATTTGTACTGTCGTTTTTTTTAATCCCATCTGATCGAAATGTTTTCGTTCGTTCAGTAGACCAACCGTTATTTACATACAATTACTTAAATTACTATTACTAAAATACTGTGTGATCGATTGAAAATAATTCTAATAGGTCTAGAAGTAATATTTAAGTTTAAGCATTAAATTGTTTACTGTGGGAATTATTACTAAAGGAACTAGCTTCAGGATTATTACCCCAGATCATATACAGGGTGCTACAAATTCGAGGTACGAGCATTGGTATCTTTTTAACCGTAATAGATACGAGCATGGTTAAATTGGGGCAAAGTTGCGCTTTGGGATGTTCACCAAGATGCCATCAAAAAAGTTTTAAAAACTTCAAGGATTGCTGAGTTTTTTGGAAAAAACGGATTTTTTTGAAAATGAATTTTATTTTTTCCTGTCGTTACTTTTAAGGAAATCAAAAAACTAATTACACATTCTCATGGCCACTTTATTAGGGCTATCTGATAGTATTTTTAGATTTTCAAATTAGCTGATAATTTGTGAGATACAGAGGCCAACTTAATTTTTTTAAATACGGATCTGTATTTTTTATTTCAGGTTTTGAAAGACCTCGCTCTCCTGAGTACAATGATATGCCACAATTAATTTTTTTTTTGTTTTTAAAATATGGAAACAATTTATTTAAACTAATTTGAAGTCCGACTCTGTTTTTTTTTAATATTTAATATATTCATCGTTACAATATTTATAAGCTTTCAAACTTAACAGTGACGTGGGTTGAATATGGAAAATCAAATGCAATATTAAAATAAAAAATATCAAAGTAAAACCTCTGAAGGCGGGGTAAGGGGACAAATAACTCACAATCTGTAAGATGTTTATTTAAATTTAAATGCTTCAAAAATAGCAGGGGGGCGACCTGTTTCGGGACTTAAACAATTCCCATCTTCAGGCCCAGAAAGACAAACGTAAACCTAGGAAGTACCACCACTCGGAAGAAATAAAATTAGTTAGAGCTGTTAACATTCACATATCTCTCTCATTGTAATAACAAATTGTATAACTTTTCAAGAGGGAAGCCTTTCGTTGTCCAATAATTCCAAATAAATGTCTATACCATAATTATTTTAATAAAAAATAATATTCTTCACTTCTAGTGCAGATCCATTAATGGATGTTTGCGATAACATTTTCCATTGCTTCTCTGTTCCGGGCGGTGTGTATTAACGACTGAACATCGAGTAGCCCTGTCCACTGTCTAATATTCCTCAGCCAAGACATTTTCTTCCTTCCGATACCCCTCCGGCCATCGATCTTGCCTTCTATCAACAAATGCAAGAATTGATATTTGGGGTTTCGCATTATGTGCCCCAGGTATGCAGTCTTTTTCTTTTTAATTAATTCAAATAATTCACGCTCTTTGTCAACGCGTCTGAGAACTTCCTCATTTGTCAATCTAGCCGTCCAAGGTATCTTCAGGATTCTGCGATATAGCCACATCTCAAAAGCCTCCAATTTGTTGATGGTAGCTGCTTTCAATGTCCAACCTTCCATACCATAAAGGAGCACCGACCTCACATAACACTTTACGAATCTTAATCTAAGACTAAGGTCAAAATCAGAACAGCCAAGTACTTTTCGAAACCTCAAGAATGCCTGCCGAGCTTGTTCGATGCGACATTTAATTTCCTTGTCTGATGTCCAATTTTCGGAGAGCCAGATGCCCAAGTACTTAAATTTATCTACTTTTTCTATGGGCCTTGAGTTAAATGTTAGGATGGAGTTTATAAACATATCTGGGTTTCTGGATATAATCATAAATTTGGTTTTCTTGATGTTGATGTTTAAACCCATTGCTTTGCTCTGTTCTCCTACCTTGTTGACCAGTTGTTGTAGGTTGTGTATATTGTCTGCAATTAAGACCGTATCGTCGGCATAGCTGATATTATTATTATAATATAAATAATATAATATAAATAAAATAATAATAATAGCTCCCGTATATAGCGTTTAACGCCTTGGGAGTACCAAGGTACAGCTTGCCATACTAGAGCCGTTCGGTATACAAGGAAGGTAATGTGGCTAGCACTACGCTTCAACCGCCTATTATTACCTCAGGATTGTGAATCCCAAGTACTCATTTAAGGCTGAGTCGACCTAGGTACCCAAACTATTTTTATTTTAATAAAAATAGTCGGCTGATGCAATGCCGGGTGTGGGAATCGAACCCACTACCTTAAGATTGGTAGACGAGAGCCTGTACCTCTACGCCGCCGGGCACCATAATACGCCCACCGGGCACCATAATAAGGGGCCAGAAATGGCTCAAAATGAAATAAGTAAATTACCAACAGATATTCAGGCTGAGGCCACAAACGCCATATCCAAACTACTTCCATTTAAATCCCGAATAATTTATGAAAAGGAATGTCAAATTCAAAAATGTCAATTTTCAATTAAAAAACGTGCGAGAAGAAATAAAGTTTGTAACCTATCCTCGCTGTTAAAGTATCATTTAATCTACCCTTGCGGTTAAAGTACTATTTTATCTACTATTTTTCATAGATAGGTAGGTATAAGGCAACTTTAACAGTTGCTATGGAAAAAAATATTAATCGCAATACAAATTTTCTTTATGTACAAAACAACTCATGATACATTGGACATAAGTATTGGAATACAAATTGCTATAATGAAAGAAAATATACATATAAAAGAAAAAGCTAAAAATGCTTTTTTTCGTGTTAAGATTTCTCATAAAATTGAAATTCGTCCAAATAATAATGAATTTAGCATTTAATTAGGAAATTTTAATGAAATACGCAGAATAATAATTATAAATTATTAAGACCATATGATTTTCTATTTCAGTAAGGATGAAAGCGATGGAAGAACAGAACTGAACATTCCTATCAAGCACATAGAGTTCCTCAATACAGAGGATGCACTTGTGGTACCTTTTCAGTCGTTTCAGGAAGGAAAGTCATACACAGTCGATGTGGAGCTTCAACTGGACAACTGCCTATATCTCTTCCAAGAAAAAGTAATTGGTGAGTTCAAAATGTGATGTACGATGTTTTGAGTACGTCTAGAAGATAGGAACTATCTTTATTATTAGATATACCGGGTGGTCCGAACTGTATTGGCCGAACTTCGGCACTATATTCTACAGATAAAAATAAGTAAAAAATTTCGTATAAATATATGTCCTAAAATGCTTAATATCGGAGATACAGGGTGTAGAAGTTTCACTTTCATTTCGATTTTTTTTTTCAAATAATTTCTGTAAGTAACGTCAATGTTTGGATGAAAATTGATGTCTGTGAGTTTTTTTTCTTGAGAAATTACTCTGACGTTACTTATTTGGAAAAAAATCGAAATAAAAATGAAATTTCTACACTCTGTGTCTCCGAAACCAAGCATTTTAGGACATATATTTAAACGAACTTTACATATTTTTATCTGCAGAATATATAGCTTTTTATACAGGGTGGCGCCTCTCATACTATAGCTCCAAGGAGAAGGGTAGTTTATATCGAAATGAAATTTTGGCAGCATATGTCGGTTAACTGAAAGTATTTTATAAAAATATATAGAATTATACAGGGTGTCCCTAAACAAAGTTACACATCAAAGTTTTTTTTTTCTAATGGAATACCCTATATATTAATTAGTTTTTGGATTCTTGGAAAAAATAAAGGTGAGTTTTATAAGCATATACCTAAAATCTAAGGATTTTGACATATTTCACATTTTGTGAAAATGAATAGTAAATTTTAGATTCCGATAACAGCTACCTAAACTTTAGTTGACCTTGTATAGCCTGATATTTAATTACAGTAACAATTGTATGTTAAACCAAATTGAAATTTGACCCGAAAAGTTATACAGGGTGAGACAAAATTAATATGGAACATTAGTCACTTTTAAACGCAAGTTACTCCTTTATTTTAAATGGAACACCCAGTATATTTTTCCGGTGTTCAATAGGGAATTTATATATCTTCAAAATATTATTAAGGTTGCCTAACTCAGACAAAGATTTTTCCAGATATTTTAATTTTATGATTTTGCGTCAGTAAATCTTTATTATTTGAAACAATTTAGGTGGCTGAGTGATATACCTTTTGTTAATTTAACAGAAATTAAAGATTGGAGAAAAAAATACTGAAGGGTAATAAAAAGATACACGTTTAAAACATATTTGAATTATTACAGGATTAAAACTAGATATAAACATATGATTATGCGACAAAAATTAGCTAGATGAAATCAAATGCTCAAAATGTTTCTTTCCTGTTAATTGCATAAAATTATTGTCTTTTCAAAAGGATCTTTTCATTTTAAAAGGCATATGTGGAGTTCTACCTCGAAAAGCAGCTACAATAATTTCTCTCATGTTGTCGAAATAATTTCTCTCTTTTGTCGAAACTAGTTGATCCAGTTTTCCAAACACTGTCTTTAATCTAGCCCAGGCTAGATAAAATCAGGAGCATTTAAGTATTCTATTAATTGGTGAATGCACACTGCATTCACCAACTAATAGAATCATATCAATTCCTTCTGATGTAGGATAAGTTTGCATTTTCAGCAAATTTCTGAGAATTTTTTTTGTTTTAACTGACACAAAATGATACTAGTTGTTAATGTTGGATTAATTAGACATCTATAACATGAATTTTCCATTGAATATCGGAATAATATACTGGGTGTTCCATTTAAAATAAGAGAGTTACATGCTATTAAAGATGACCAATGTTCAATGTTAATTTTGTCTCATCCTGTATAACTTTTTGGATCAAGTTTTAATTTGATTTAAAGTACAGTAGTTAATTTAGCTACATATTAGGCTATACCGGGTAAATTCCAATTTAGGTAGCTTTTATTGTAATTTAAAAATTATTCTTTATTTCTAGAAAATGTTAAATATGTCAAAAACCTTACATTTTAGTCATATACTTCTCTTATAAAACTAACCTTTATTTGTCTCCCTGAATCCGAAAATCAATTAATATATAGGGTGTTTGTTCCATTACAAAAAAACACAACTTTAATATTTAACTTTTTTCTGGGACACCCTGTAGAACTCTCTATATTTTTAAAAAGTGCTCTGTATTAACCTACAAATGCTCACAAAATTTCATTTCAATACAAACTGTCGTCCTCCTTGGAGCCTCCGCGGCGTATGAGAGGCGCCACCCTGTACAGTTCGGACCGCCCCACTGTGGTCAATTTTTAAAAATTAACAGGAAAATATTAAAAAATCTGATGAGGCTAAGCGGCGTCAAAAACTCCATAAGTAGGCTTTGAAATAGTTGCTAAGAACATTTCATTAACAAATATGTCAAAGGTCGTTGCGAATTTACTGTTATTTTGATTGAAAATAGTAGTATAGTTGACAAATTAAACTAAATAATCTTGTTATTTGCACCTGAATAATTTTTTTTAATTTGCGTATTCCGTGCAAAAAGTTATATGTCATTAATACTAGCTAAAATGGAAAGAGCAATATTGTTGTTGGTAAGTTTTTTGACATTAATGTTCTTCTATTGAGTATTAAATATGAGTAAATAATTTTGATATGGTTAGATTTTTTTTTAAATTATTAGAATATACATTTTTTTAATGAACGAGCAGAAAAAAGTCTTATGAGGTTTCAGTTTTAAATAAAGTTAAGTTGATAGTTAAACCATTAGACAACTTTACCAAACCTACAAATTTACCGTCCTAGTCCGTCTGTTAAGTCCAGACCATTTTTTAGGACGTATTGCCCATATTAAACGCTTGGAGGTTGTTGACTTTTTAAAAGCAACTGTTAGCAAAATCTGTAACATCCATAGTATTATTCTTATAATATGATAATTTTTAAATATCTAACATATGCAAATGATCGCGACCAAAATCTATTTAAAATAAAAAATAACGAAAGTTTTCCAAGTTTTTATTTATTATACACCCTGTATACGACCTGTTCTTATTAATTATATTATTAATGTAATTTTATGATACCTAACATATAAAATCGGATATAGTTATTAATCAAAGTTAAGTAATTTTCACTAATATTTTTTTCCGGCTAATTTGACAAAATTGACCACAGCGCGCCCGATTAAAAAATTAATTAATTATACTATAATTATATTAGAAATATACTGTTTGCATATTTATATATAAGATATTTTTATACTCTTTTTAGTTCCTATAGAAGATGAAACTGAAACAATCAAGCACAAGATTATTTATATGGGAGTGTCATTGGTACTACTTTGTGTGGTGGTTTTTTATATATTACTAAGGCAGAAACCTCAACTAGTAAGAGAGTTGAAGAAATATTTACCGTTTCTACCCTCAGCGCATGATTTGCCAGTGCATGCATCAGATGTGGGACCAAAAATAGCGTAAGTCTGTTAGTAATTCATGCATTATAAAAAAAATTGTGTGTGCATATTTGAAGTGAAACTTCTTACTTCCGTCAGTTTGGTTTCTTACGTCAAAACTAACTGTCACAGTGACACATGTCGTACACGGTCAAGTTAGCCTTGGTCCAATCTATCGACATACTAAATTTTATTGAAACCGGAGGATTTTTTTATTTGATTCACTGATGATTGGGTTTTCAAAATCTCAATAAAGATCGTCGTCAAAATATCAATAAAGATGGGGCTCTTCGAGCTCCACCTATATTCCGAGTTTCATTCCCCTAACTCACATAGAGAAATATATATAGGAGACTATATTTAGAGAAGCACTGGATCGAATCCAGGGCGGAATCAAGTTCAATGGAATCCCAATATAGTCTGTCCAACGACAAGATCCCTGACAATGATAGATGTGTCTGTCATTTTAATTACAAAGTAGTTTATTTTATTTTACAAACAAATAAGTTGGTACAATTGGAACGTACAGCAGGAAATTAATATATTTAAAATTTTACTGACAAGTGATACTTCAAAATATTGTGAAAAAACTTAAAACTGAAAAAATGTAATCGAGTTATTTTATTTAAAAAACGGTATGTGTTAATACAAAACAAACAAGAACAAAACACTACATAAAAGAACCATAAAAAAGAACTATTTCTTACTTTCAAGCTTCAAGAAACTTTCCGCATTTATTATTAAATTTATCAATATAATATAACTTATGTACAAATACAAATTTGTAATATTCCACGGGAATAAATAAAACAATATAAATAAAACAAACTATTTTATTAATAATAATACCAATTTTATACCTTAAAGGTTGATTAATTAACTATTTTTTTTAAACCAGTACCTTTTGATATTATTTTTCTGCAGTACTAAAATTCATGATTTACCTATCGTGTAATGTCGATATTTCACAGCTACTCCAGATTTTAGTATATGTTTAGGTTTAGTACGATCCTTGTACTATATACGAGATGCACTTATCTACGACGAGATGGTCTACAAATTTTATTGGTGTATAAGACTTTCTGCCTAGGCAGCGAGTATTTAATATAAACTGTGTTCTGAGTCTACAGTTGATTTTCCCTTGATTTTTCCTCCACTTGACTTCAAAAGACACAAAACACACGTAATAACACAAATCAAAATGCATCATCTTGACAAGAAGAACAACTTGACTCAAAATTATAACCTATAATTTGGCAAAACTTTGACAATTCTCAAAAATCTAAAGGCGAGTTCACACGCATCGGCGTCCGTTGTCGTTCATCGTTCCGTCAAACCAATAAAATTAAAATATGATCTGTCATTTTTGAAATAAACCAATAAAACTAGTTAAAAACAACAAGCGACGACGCATGACGGATTTATATTTAAACTCGTCCATAGTTAACTTAAAAAATATTAGAAACTTTTTTTAGTAAAATAAATAGATTGGTATGGGACGTCATCTGCTTTTTTTCTGTCATCGTCTGTCGAAATCTTACTTGAGAAAAAAAACAGAGTATAAACAATATCAGATATGTCGATGATACGGTTATAATAGCCAATGATATACAAGAACTGCAAAGCATCATAGATTCCGTAGTCCACTATAGTGAGATGTTTGGACTGCATCTCAATGTCTCCACGACCAAACTATTGGTCTATTCCAATGACTCCAATAAATGCACACCTGCGTGTCAATGGACAAACAATCGAACAAGTGACCTCAATAAAGTATTTAGGAGCTAACATCAATAGTCAGTGAGACCCAAAAAGAGAAATATTTTCAAGAATTGAGCAAGCGAGAAAAGTCTTCGTGAGTATGAAATCATTTTTCACAAGACGAGACCTCAGTGCGGAACTCAGAACTCGAATGGCCAGATGCTACGTCTTCTCTGTGTTACTCTATGGATGTGAGAGCTGGACACTGGATTCACAGACCGAAAAGAGAATAGACGCCTTCAAAATGAATGTGTACAGACGGATGCTGCGAATCTAATGGGTACAAAGGATCACCAACGATGAAGTACTCCAGCGCATGCAGAAATAAAAAGAGATTCTGAACACCATCAAGGAAAGAAAAATGCAATACCTGGGTCATGTGATGAGAGGCGATAGATACGAAATTTTGCGCCTCATAATAGAGTGCGAGGGAAAAGATCACTAGGAAGACGCCAGAACTCATGGTTAAAAGATTTAAGGAGATGGTTTGAACGCTCGTCTGCGGAAATCTTCCGGGCTGCAGTTTCCAGAGCCACAATTGCTATTTTGATCGCCAACCTTCGGTAGGAGAGGGCGTGATAAGAAGAAGCTCACATAGGGTCCGAGTTATGACGCTCCAAGATCGTTACCACTTTTCCTCTCGCGTCCCGTGTGTCACGGCCTTCAATTTTTACTCCTATCGCGCGTAGAGAAGTTTCCTCAAAAGTTTCTTCAAAAATTTAACATTCTTGTTCGATCTGGAGGTGGTCCGAACTGTAATCCGGAAACTTCGGCATCATATTCTACAGATAAAAATAAGTAATAATAAAAAAAATATAATAGTAAAAAAGTTCGTGTAAATTTATTTCCTAAAATGTTTAGTTTCGGAGATACAGGGTGTAGAAGTTTTATTTTTATTTCGATTTTTTCCAAATAATTTCGGAAGTAACGTCAATATTTGGATGAAAATTGGTGACGGGGAGTTTTTTGACATGAGAAAGTTGATTTTGATGTCAATATAACTCCTATTTCTAGGGGGCGCCACCTACATGTGTTTTAACTGTTTTGAAGTGTAATATCTTTTCGTCCATACCTATATAAAACTACCTACTGAGTAAAAAAATGTACATTTACGACATATTTTACATAAAAAAAGGTCTCTTGGTGAAAATTTCTAGAAGTAATGGTTTTCGAGATATTTGGAACCGAAATTATCAATACCTCTCATCATTAACATAAACTAAACGCGTTGACTAAATAGTTATTAGGCTGAAATCATTTTGTTAAAAGTTTAGCAGAAACTGTTTTATCAAAATTTTTTCGAAGAAAAATTTATGACATTTTTTACGTAAAAAATCACGGAAATGTATATTTTTTCACTCAGTAGTTTTATACAGGTATGGAAGAAAAAATTATTACACTTCAAAACAGTTAAAACACATGATACAGGGGTGGCGCCCCCTACAAATACGAGTCATATTTACATAAAAATCAAATTTATCATGTCGAAAAACGCCTAGACACCAATTTTTATCCAAATATTGACTTTACTTCAGAAATTATTGGGAAAAAATCTCGAAACAAAAATGTAACTTCTACACCCTGTATCTCCGAAAGTAATAAGCATTTTAGGACATATAATTTTATACAAACTTTTTTACTTATATTTATCATATACGTATTATTTTTGTAAATAATACGTATATGATATTTATCTGCAGAATGTGTTGCCGAAGTTTCCGTAATACATTCGGACCACCCTGTTTATAAAAAGTCTATGTCCCCAGATCGATTATGAAATGGCTCTAAAAGGAAGCAAATATACTTTAAATTAAATTAAATCTATCAATTTGTTACATTTCATAATTAATATGATATAAAACTGTGTAGCGAGATTTATCTGTGTAGATAAACGATAATTCAATATGTAATTTGATATTGACGTAAGTAATTCTAAGAAAAATATAATTATTATTACATAAAATAGTTAACCTAATCAAACTAATATTATAAAAGCTTCTGTGTATGGCCGCGGGCAGCAGCTAATTTTATATATTTTCTCTCTCCCAACAAGCTTTTTATATCATATTAATTAATGTAATAAAATGGTGGAGATTTCATTCAATTTAAAGTTAATTTGCTTCAGTATAGAGCATTTAGATGAAAGCCTTTTTTTATAAAAATATGTTTTTAAGTATACCTAATAATAATTTTATTTCAAAAACATTTTGATAAAATATTTCCAGGTTTGGAATTTAAATTTTCTGATTACTGGTTTCTGGGTTAAAAAGAGTTGATCTAATATTATATCAGATTTTAAACTGATATTTGTTAATAAGGTTTATAAATTGATATTTTATTTCAGAGTTTGTCAAGGTCTTGTATCGAGTTGTCTATTTGCCAGTTTCTTTGATAGTGCTTCAATAAATTTGTAACTCTGGAGTTCTCTTGTAAAATATTCTCAAAACACACAATTTCTAACCGTGGAAGAAAGCCAATAGAATATTTAAAAAGCCAATTTTTCTGGTTTCACTCAAATATACATCTGCTCTGTTCTTACTGTAATTTAAAATTCAATACAGCTATAAATTGTTAAGTTTCCAATTTGAGAAGCATTGCTTTTCAAAAGAAACCCCTATAACTTTTTTAATTTTTTCAGATAAAACACAAAATTTAGATGTTAGTATAGTACAAATCTTTTAAAAGTTCCTCAGCATGGCAGACCTAGTTACAAAAATTGGCAATTTTTATAAATGATAAATAAGTTGTTGATAGCGAATTCAGAACTTGACTTACTCTTTGGTTAACAATAACATCTTTCAGGATTGTCAAGTTGACGTTAAAGTTAGGTGATTAGATAGTTGTCATAAATAAAAACATTAGGTATTGAAATTATTTAAATAAGAATAAAGGTATTTTACCGCAGATCGGAAGAGATTTTACTTAACGATATTTTTGTAAACTTTTACAGTTAAAAGGACGTAAGAACTATAGCAAGTGAAATTTTGTTTTCATGATTTGTAGTATATTCGAGAGTTCCTAGAATTATCAATATTAATGAATAATTATAGTTGTTTAACAAGTGAAATCTGGACTAATTTATTTTCACGAATTTGTGGACGAGTCAATGTTTTTTAAACATTTTTAAGCGTTTTACACATTTTGAATATCTTCCAGGCTATTCCTCAGTTCTTGATCGGTGAAAAGATTGTTTATAACTATATAATTATCAGGAATTTTTATTTAACTGCAGGTTAAATAAAAGGACAAATTCAAGTAGA